GGGGCGTCCCTCCAAGACGAGAGAGGGATCGTGTAATTGGTTAGGGAGACTGGAAATTGGTTTGGGCGGCAGTGGGTCTACCCAATTGGGTTTGGGTCTTAATCCATTTAATTTAACCGGGGCAGTTAGTTGGACTAGGATGAAAACTAACTTAACGCGGAGGAGGCAATTTGTAATTTGTTTAGTTATTTAGTGGCGCAGCTAGGTTTAACAAACGTGAGCCGTGGAGATTGAAAACGAACGGTTAAGATCGGCCAAGGCACCCGTACCCGGGTTTTGCCCTGGGCACCGTAGAAGTCACCATATATATATTGGTTCAGGCTAGCGTACGCCCGGGCGTACCTTAGTCTACCGTACGCCCGTTGAGTTTTACTATTTAGATCATGAATTAACCGAAGTTTTTGGCATGATACTATACCCTAACCTCTAATGGATAAACCTCAGTCCCTAATTTTCTAACACAACTCATGAGATTCGTTTACTCTTAAAAAGTAAATCAACAATAATTTTGACAAATCAAGACCGTTGATTTTCATTTCAAGATTAAATGAATATTATGCTTTGGATTAGTGAATTAGGGACTGGGGTTTATCCATTAGAGGTTAGGGTATAGTATAATGCCAAAAACTCCGGTTAATTCATTGACTAAATAACAAAACTCAACGGGCGTACGGTAGACTAAGGTACGCCCGGGCGTACGCTAGCATTTGCCATATATATATATATAATCAATAACTCAATATTTATTTAATAATTTGAGTTACTTGAACTATCTCTAGGATTAACACTAATTAATAGTCAAATTTTTTCCCGCACTCTTTTTATTAACACAAATCTATTGAATTACTAATAATTAGTAAAATATTAAATTTTGATTAACAATTTTGTCACTAATAATTAAAAAACTAATGATTTTGATTAGAAGAAAGAAAAATAAAACCTGGGGTCGTTGAGCACCACTCACAGGAAAGAACTGAGACAGGCCCAATCAGAGAAACTACAAAAACACTCACCAAATTGGTTTATTAATTGGCAAAATCAACACCCAAGCATCATTCATCTCTTTCTTTTATTAGTGTCGTTTGTTTTTCTCGTTATTATTTGTTTGGGGCCTTCACTAACTCGCCGATCCCTTCTTTCTTCCCCCTTGACATTGGAACCACTTCAAAGTTAGGAGGTGAAAGCAACGTCGAAAACGACCTGAGGCCTGAGGGTGATTGATTTATGTAATATATGCACTAATCCCATTTCCCAAATTGCCCCAAATTATTGAAACTTACGAGATCCATATGTTTTTGCCAATTACACTATGCTATATTATTTATACAAGTGGGTAGTTGGGTCCATCGATGGCAATGGTTTTGTTTCATAGCCATTCCCTTGCTTTGGCTCATGTCATGACCCTACTACTACTATTACTAGAGGTGGCAATTGGGATCCAAATCCATGAATCCAATCCAATCCATCCACCAAATTATCCACCTAATCCAATCCATTTAAATCCAATCCATTTGATCCAAATGGCAAATTACGATTTGGTACCTATATTTTTTATATTTTACATTTTGGTACCTAAAATTTATATTTTTATACGAAAAATATCATTGGAAAATTACATTTTGGTACCTAAAATTTTTCATTATGACATTTTAGTACCAAAACTTTTCAAATTTTACATTTTGGTCCAAGCCTTATATGTCATTTGGATTCATGGATCAATCCACCAATCCATTTGATCCAATCCATGAATCCACCAATCCATTGGATCCAATCCATTTGATCCATGGATCCACCAATCCAATCCACGAATCCACGAATCCGATCCAATTGCCACCTCTAACTATTACTATCATAAATTGGAGCAAGCTAATGGGATCCTTGTAGTATGGTGGTAATGTTTTCCTTCATCATTTTGATGGTGATGCTCCAATATCTAAGGACCTAATGTATATCTCCAACCAAGGATTTCTTTTCACTCAACTAAAGTATATAATCTCAATGGAATATATCCAACAAAAAAAGAGATTTATCTTTTATGATAAGATGAAGTCAGGTTGGATTAGTCTATTTTTATTTTTTATGAACGAAATATGATTATAATTTTTAAAATACACATATAAACTTCAAGCCCTATATATACTACTATTAGACGATCTTGAGGCACTAGAGAGTTTCGATATCTGGAAATGAATTCGATAAGTCATGAGACCTGACTTTGCATTCCCGACCTTTATTGTAGTTAGAGAATAGTTCAACACATTATGGCTCATGAGGGGGTGTTTCAAACAAGCCAAGGATGCACACCAGTTGCGAAATTAAATGCTGTGATGGTATAAGGTTCTCCGAAGTCCTTCATTCAAGAGGCAAGAAATCATTATCACTGAAAGCACAACTCGCCGACCTCTTTTATTCTGCTTTCCCCTCATATTAATCTTTATGCCGGTATCTGTATGTATCTTCTTTAATCTCCATAGACTTTCCGTCAACGAGCCCACGGCGAGAAACCTCCTCTCTTTGGTTACATCTTAATGTAGGTGGTAAATACAAGGTTAGTACTTAGTAATATAATTCCATAACAATTTTGGACACAAAAGTAAAACAAAACTAGCGGTCAAACCGCTGTTTTCACCAAGTTAGATCTTAGCTTTTGAAATCAACACGTACGAAAGAAGAATGAATCAACGGGTAATTGAAACTATGAATCGACCGCCAGCAAAACTATTGACTTGATCAGAAGGACCACATTATCCTCATCTGTTTTATACATTGAGATGGACCTTTCACATCATTACTCCATTGTTGCTTACTTGTTTTATAATTGCGTGATCCAAATAAGTCCCCTCATGTTTGTAACTCAATTATATATATGTTGACAGCGATCAATACAGAAGGGGCCGATGATAGCTGGAAACGGATAGTTCAATTTTAATCCAACGCCTTGCCAGAATTTTAATAACGAAAGGATAATAATTCGTTTGATAGGAATCCAGAGAAGTCAGTGAACTGGGTATCTTTTAGTGCAGTGGTAATGTTATTGGCCGAAGGGTAGTGTTATCGGTGTAGCGATACATGTTGTTGTTGGTATAGTGATAATATAATCGGTGTAGTGGTATTGATATTGCGGGTGTACTGCTATTGTTTTCTGATCTGGTGGTAATGTTATTGGTACAGTGATAATCATTTTAGTATAGTGGTACATCTGTGAATGCGGTGGTATTCTTTTGTCGGGTGGAGAGAGTCTGCTGAAGCGGGTCTTACCGGAGAAATATAGTTGGAAGAATTCTGCCGATAGAAAGCAAAAAGAGATTGTTTGAAAACCAAAAAAATAAAGACAAGGAGAGGTAATTGTAATTAATGCGAGTTTAAATAAAAAACACAATTAATATAATATGTTAATTGTCAATTAATGCAGAAAAAAAATCCAATATCCAAAATACCTTGCAAACCCCTTTGAATTAGTCACCATATCTCTATCCCTTTATCATGCGGATTGCTCCCCAAGATGCGAACACGGAACACCTATTAAATCAATTGGGAAACCAAAAACAGAAACAAGAGAACGTCATCTCAATGTATAAAAACAACATTAAAACAGGCTACAAGTGCTAATCATGCATTGTATTATGACATACATTAGAGTATGAGTAAAGGTAGGTTAGCTCAGCTAGTCTTGGAGCATAGTAAGGGGAAGAAAAACAATAGAATAGAGAAATTAAGCACTTGTTGTTTTGTGCGCATGATCCAAAATGATTCCAACGGGGTTCCAGCTCTTGAGCTACACAGACTGAAAGTGACATTCATGATGCACATAGATGAGATATGGTGGGTGTAATTGATCTATCGTATTAGCTAGAATGATACGAGGAGAAAATTGTATAAAAAGTTATTCTATTCATAAACTCTACTCTGAAATTAGTTTGACAGTTGATGAAACCATGATAAAGTGATTATCTTCTCCAAGAGCTCGCCTGGGATGCTGGCTAGCTACCGTCACGTCGCTCTTCAGACGGACTCCACTACTACATTGGCATTCCTTCCGGCCACTAGAACGGTGGCCAACCAGCATGATCTACTCTTTTTCGTTCGTTGGTAGCTCGTGATTGGGAAGTTCCTATTTCACATGTTTAATGAGAAGCCAATTTTATTGTCGATTGTTTAGCTCTCGAAAGGGCATATCATGTCTCCCGGAACTCATTTTATTAGCTTGTTAGTTCGGGATGTCCAACATTGGTCTCTAGACCTACTTTGTATTTTTGGTTTTTTACATTCTTTTTTTTTAATATGGATTTGTCAATGATAAGGGATTTGAATGAAGAATTTCGACAAAACTCACGTTCTGTCGTATTTTGAAAAAATTTCACGTTTAGTAAGGGATTCGAAAATAAACTATTTTTTAGATGCCGAATTTTTTAAACCTATATTTTTAAACACAACCATCCCTCAAACATGTGATTAAGCCCCAACTTACACATAAAATATATGGATTTTAAGTGAAAAATTTAGTTCCAAATCCCTCATAAATTCCTGAGAACCTTCATTCAAACGAATTTTCCCCCATTGTCGTTGTGATTTGTAGAAGAACTATAAATGCATAATCTCAGTAATCACATAACTCAGCCATTGTACATCCCCAACAAATCCACATATAATACTCAGTTACCCACATTCCCCACCTCAGAAAAAGTAATTGCTATAAACAAAACTGCAACCTTTTTTTGTCTTCTACATTTATCAAAGCTACCCAGATGATTAAGACACCCACCTTACCAACTGGATCAAAAGAACTAGGCTGGAACATGTTCCATGAAAGATTTCCACATTATCTTGAACCACAAAAACTTGGATAAGGGGATTCACATGACTTGGTGTTGGTGCTAAATATAAAGCCCCTTTTCGATATGCAGGCCCACTCGGGGCCCAGTCCAATAATGAAGCCCACTTGTAAAAGATACTTTTCCATAGTACTCTTGTTCCCTATTTCTTTGAAATCATTGAAAACTAAAACCAGAACAGAAGAGTTCTTGTATGGACCAAGAATATGAACATCCTTCTCATTCTCCTTCCACAACTGACAATAACAACCAAATCATCTTCTTCCACCACCAGAAAGGCTGATGAGAAATAATGTTCTTACACAACTTTTCACTTTATCCACACCAAATTACGAACTAGAAAACAAGCCAGCTTGATTAATTGGGACCATTTCTAATCCTCAACCACTAGAATCCCCAAAAGCTATGGTGTGAACCAGCAACCCACTATCCGGCGACGGCGACGGTGACTCCTCCACGGCGCACGGCTGCGCTCTCCTCTGCTGCAGGTTCAACGCATGGAACGTCAGAGCTCCGGCCAGAGCTCCCCCTATCGGCGCAGTTATATACACCCATATGTCCTTAAAGTTCCACGCCACGATCGCCGGACCAAGCGACCTCGCTGGATTCAACGACCCCCCTGAAATCGGCCTGAACCAAAACCGAAATTAACCAAAACCAAAAATTGGGCAGATTAATTAATACAATTCGAGTCCAATAAGAAATGGGTTCAATTTGTTGTACGTACCCTGTAATCAGAACTGCGAGTCCGATTGATATTCCGATGACCAATCCAGATAAGTAACCCACCTGAAAAAAAATATTGCCCTCAATGTTAAAGACAGATTACAACGAGGATAGTAAAATCAGACCAGGAAATTAAAATAAAATGGGGAGATTAAATTTTCCTTAGCTTACTGATTGAGCATGGCAAGTCAGCGCGGCGGCGACGAACATGATCATGAAAGTGGCCATGAACTCTGCCCAGAAGCTAGACACGCAGCCCTGAAGCGGTCTAGTAGCCATCAGCTCCGGGTCGATCCCGTACACCGACTTCCCGACGTAGGTTGCCAGGATCGAACCGATCGTTTGAGCCGATATGTAGAATGGAACCTGTTCCGAAATTCGAATCTTGGAGTCAACAATCAATCGACATTGTACAATGTTTTGTCTAAACAGAGGAAAAAAAAGGTTGTGTTAATTAGCGTTACCCTAGGCCAGGGGAAATGGCCGAATGCGGCGAAGGCAATGGTGACGGCCGGATTAACATGTGCGCCGGAAATCGAGCCTATGGAGAAGATCAACACGACGACGGTGAGCCCCGCCGTGGCCGCGTACTCCAACAGCCCGACTTGGCCTTTGAGAATTTGGGTGCTTGCTATGATCCCGCACACGCAGAACATTAGTATGAACGTCCCCATCATTTCAGCCAAAATCTGCCATGAATGCACCAAATTTTCAGGTTCGTTTAGCCCCAATTAACAATCTTTTGTACTAAACTAAACAATGTTACATACCATTCGAGCAGGGTTGAAGTCCATCCCCTGAATGTAGCGCCAGAGGTTGGACTTCGAGACGATACTGTTCGAATCGACGGCTTCTCGACCGTGGTTGTCTCCCAACGAGCCGCTACTTGATGCATTGTGAGGTGCGCCGGGGGAGGGACGATATTGTTGGAGCGAGTGCATTCTAGCCAAGCCACATTAGTAAGTAGAGAAAGAAGTGCAAAAAAACAGAGCACCCCCAACACTCAGTGCGCTTAATAGTGTGTGTGTTAACTCTAATTGGGGTTGTTATGTGTTCTTTTCGAGTCACGTATAAAGAAGATGAAGGGTTATATAAAATGGGAAGTGAGAGGTGCAAAAGGAAGAGAAGGGCTATCAGCAGAAAGAAACCCCAAGAAAACACAGTTCGTTCATGGTGGTTCTTTTAACTGTTCTACTTGTTTTCATTTTACAATGCTGCCCACATAGTTTATCCAATCTCCACCAGCGAACCTTTCTTTGTGTGGGGTGATTGATTGTTCATCTTTATGTTACTTTCCCTCCTTTGTTTCCATCGACATTTTCTTGCCAAAGGCAACAAGTTTTTTCATTTTTTGGTATTATTGTACACAATATTGAGAAAGGTGGGCTAAAAGTTTGGTAATGTTTTAGATAATGCAAGAGGTTAGGCGAATTTCACGTTGTCAAAAGAAGGGAGAGATCTATGATTCATAAGTAATAAACAGATTTTAATTGTTAAAACGCACTTTGTGGTAAAAATTGAAGATTTCTTATAAGAACTTTGAAATTAAAGTGCTCATTGTGGAGTACTGCAAGGATGTGTGATCTTTTGAGAAGTAATCTTGATATGCACCCTAAGATAAAAACATGGATGTCGTGGTGGGTTTTTTGTAGAATTTAATACGAAATATTTTAAGCGAATTGGGATGAGATTGACTTAGGGTATATTATTTGATATTGAAGAGGTTTGGTTGGTATATATTGAAATATAGAATATATGGAGAATGTATAATTTTTTTCAATGTATATCATTCGTTACTATAATTATTATTATCAACAATTTCCATGTTATCTCATCACGAACAACAACATGTGTGATTTGTGTCCAAATTATCTATGTAAGAAAAGAGATGATTGAATCTTAAAAATGCATGAAATTGTTGATGAAGAAGTAACGAGAAAATATACGAGAAACCTCTCCTTTCAAATTATCACGTCCTAGCCAAATGATTGTTCAACATGTAGCTGGTGAGAGTATCATGTGTGTAATATATCAATGTTGCTCGTATATACACAGGACAATGAATCAATTTACCTAATTCAGAAGGGAGAAAGAGAGGTTCGTTGGTCAGAAGGTCAGGTATAGTATCTAGCTAGCTAGATCAATTTTTCGTCGCAGCTGAATTAATTTTCCTTGTGTTTCGTCGTGGTGATGGGCGGTTCCTGTTTGTGGTGGCCTGGAGGACAGGATGGCAGCGGCTACAACGAGCTCTTGGCTTCCGCATCTGCATCCCTTCATGCCCCTACCCAAAAATCCGCAGTTGGATGCCTGTCCTCTGTCGTGGCACTGTGGCAATACTTGCCTCTTCACTGATGCTCAGGCGCGTCAACGCCCGTGAATTGGTCAGCTCTTGCCTCACTCCATTCAATTATGGGGCTACCGTCTCCTAAAGAACAATTTATCTCCTATGGTTCCAACCCCAGTTCACATCTACCTCTTTTTTTATTGTTTTCTCACTCTGTTCCCCCTTTACAGACCCAGCTCTCCGAATTACGTAGCCTCCCCATACATGGACCAACAAAGGTGGACACAATCGCTTATGATGGTGAGCTCTTATTTCTGTGTTCTTAGTCCATATTTTTAGTTTCACCTTATCGATTTTGAACTCCCGCCGCAGATCACGTAAGTAGCGATGAAGATTCTGATGACATGGTTTCGTCGAGTTCGTACTCGAGCCCTAGCCATGGGGAGGGACAACAGAAACCGATGGTGGTGGTGGTGGAGCAGCAGTAGTATGAGGTGATAGTTGGTGGAAGTGTCGCTATTCAAGTTGGAAGAGGGAAGAAGCTCGATGGCAGCGGAGGAGGGGCGAAAGACCAGAGAGCAAAAGAAAAGCCGAGGAGATGTATGCAATTTCAGTTTTATTACCGCCGAAGTTGGAAGGGACATGACTCCCTGATCGGAGAAAAGTCGGCTGACGGTGGTGAGCCCTTTTCTTGACTTTTGCATTCACTGTGAATCTTAATCCTAAGCAACCTCCAAAAATAATGATCCTCCTTTTCACTTTTCTTGATTTTCCCTATTTCATTACCAATTTACCATATTATGTTTCGTAATATCTAACAGTGGAGGTGGAAGTGCAAGCTTCTTTGGAAGGTCAATAACAGCCCGCTTGCTTGGTTCACTCTTTCTTTTTATGGTCGTATGTTCCAAATTCAGAATATGTTCTAAAGATATTCGTAATTAAACGGGACTTTCCGTCACTGGTTCCTCTATAAAAGGAAATTATGATCTTATTATTAGTGTTTTTTTTTTTACAGAGAGGATGATCGTGAGGCGGGTCTGATGCTACTTTCTCAGGCTAAAAGAGATCATGTTGCACCCACCCTCATGTATAAATGCATAATAGGTAAGCTTGAGGGAACTGCTATCTTCATTTTCTATTTGTCCCGAGTACTGAATCATTGTGTTTGAATATTTTCTCTCATTCTTGATCATTTTAAAGTTGAAGCTACTCTGTAAATAATTACGTGGTTAAGCAAATATTAGAATATGAACACGATTTTGGGAGAAAAATGATGTTTGTTAGTTAGATCACAGTTCTCTATAAAATAAATTTTCCCCCTAAGTATCCTTTGCTTAGGTACCTTGGTTTCGTGATTCTCATCTGTGAACTCAAAAGCTAATTTCATTTATAGAATTAACCGTAGAATTAGTTATAGGAAACCCTGTGTTTTGCGTGTTACAGTTCTAGCATTCCAGAATTACATCGTCTCTTGCATCTAATGTGTCAGATATCTCCAATATTAGGAATGAATTACATCAGCTAATGTGCCGGCTAAAAGTGCCAAGTCTTTGCGTATCCATTCCTAGGCTAACATTGGAGAATTTTAGTTTATCAACTAAAAGAATTGTAATTCCCTTTACAGGCCAGAATCTCTGCCTATAGACTTAGTTAAGTATTGGGTTTGGAAAAAAGTTATTGATTGAGCATCTTCAGCAGATAATTGACCACCATAACCAAATTTCTAACTTTGCCTTTAAAAATTGCTAACTATGTCAGATCCTCACTTCTGTTGTTTTTCATTTCTTTAATGAGGATGTTGTCGTTTTATCAGATTGCTGATTTATAAAAGAAAAACAACAGTGTCTTAAGCAAGGCATGTCAAGGGGAAAGTCGTGAGGATGAAACAACAGGAAAGCAAACAAAGGAAGTTGTTGCCTCCGCATAGAAAAATGTAGCACCTAGATACTGTAGGCAAGCATTTACATTCCTAGCAGTTTACTACTTACTATTACCACATTTTGTGTTTTAATTTGTCATGCTAATGCGGGTATTATTGAAGTGAAGGCAATTGTCCGAGACACTCATCTTGGTGGTGAGGATTCTGCCAAGAGATTGGTGGACCATTTCATCCAGGACTTCAAGAGGAAGGACATGGACAATATTCCTTTAATTTCTTTGCCGTTTCATGAAGATAGATATGATCGAATTCGGGTAATAGTTTCTTCAATTTTACATAGCTTCTTACTCCTTTTCGGTAGATTCTTCAAGTCTTACTTTTGGCTTGGACACTCAATTAACGCCATGTCTGGAGTGCTTAATATAGTCACAGAGATACCAGAAGCTGTAGGAGTTTCTCTACGCAGCCCCCAGAAGGAAAATAACAGACTTTAAAGAAGGCAAAAGGCATATGTTTGGGAGATATTTCCAGGATTAAGAGACATACTATGGGACCGAATATCATATGATGCCTTCATCCTCTCTTGATTTTGTTCATTTTGAAGACACATCCGTCCAATGCAGTTTAGGGTGGTAAATTTTATCTTATTTTAATTATGATTGTCTGGCAAAGCTTTAGAGTGCACTCTTGCAAAAACACAGGCGGATCAGAAAGCATTTGTTGTTTCAAACATTCAGAATCCTATTATTTTTGCAAGTTTCCCAAACTATGCTGGTTGTGGTGTTGGTGATGCTGCTGCACATATATATTGCCACAGGATGTGGTGCTCACCCATTTGCGTAGGTATGAATTTATGTAGTCTCTCCTTGAGATGTTTCTTTTTTCCAGTAATGTTTCATGCATTAGCTGGTTGAGTTTTCACTATTATTACGGTTGTTATTTTGGTTCCTGAATTAGCTTCATGTATTATACATGGTTCGATCAACTGAAGTAACATATTTGAGCATTATAATTGATTATCTATTAAGAAACCATTCCTGTTATTTTTCGGATGATGATAGCTTCTACTTTATGCAACCAATCTGTTATGTCGGTGCACATCTCCTCTTGGCATAGCGATGATGCCCATCCATGCTTCTACCCGATGGCCAAATTGGATACATTTTGTAAGCTTCATCGATCTGTCTATCCACTATCCCAACTAAATAATTTTTGTCTCAATTTTTTCTAGATTCCCCTGCATTTCAATTTAGGTAGACGTGAAATTCTTCCGTGCATGGCCAACAACCGAGCTTGCAGCCTCATCATATGACACCTTCACAGATGACAACGAATAGTAGAAGGTGCAGCAACGACAACATGGGGGAAAATAAGTGGTGCTGGTAATCACAGATGGGGAGGAAACATCAAGAGCTAATGAGATTATGCAAGCCAAGGAGGTTAGCAAAAAGGTAAAGCCTGCGAATGGAAGGACAGACCAAAGAAATAAGAGATGCAAGAGCAGAACTGAATAAAGGTCTGAGTAGAACTATGTCAATAAGTTGGATTAAGGGGAAAACTCTTAGAGTATGCTTATTATTCAGCTATTCATTGGATTAATAGGAAGATAGATATTCAATGTTAAATTAAGTGTTGAAAATATATTACTATGATCGTACACAACATTTCTGGTAGGCTCAAATTTCTACAGCTCTAACCTCGCCTGCGGTTGTTCCACAAACTATGTTATTATGTTGATTAATTATGAAACTCAAGATACAAAAGGCTCCTAACACACTTTCAAAACTTTTGAAGACACACGTTTGCCAGTAGCACAACAACCCCCTATTTGCCGTCACCTAAACTGGCCACCATATAATCATGCAGATGCAGCTTTAGTTTCCACGACGTTGCGCAGCCGCCGTGGGTATTGATTCTAGTAATGTCTTATAAGTAAGTGGTTATCTTATATATCTCACAAGTAGGAAAATCGACGACAGATGAGAGGAGATCTACGAAGGTGAGGTGGAGATGAAGAAGAGGCGTCATTGTTCAATGAAGAAGAAAGGGCTGCTTTTGTAAGAAATAGGTTGGAGAAATCGGGGAAGGAGTAATGAAGAAAGGAGAGGAAAGACAAAAGGGTACATTTGGAACAAAAAAGAAGAAAACGTGGTAATGTCAAATTACTCAGGTGAGGTGTAGTTTTCTACCATGAATGTGGTAATTGAAGCCAATTTCCATGGTCCAATTTCCATACCTTTTTTCTCTTTCAAATGTGGGTCTTTAATCCAATTACCACACAATGCAGGGGATGGGATTAGGTGCTAACCCTTATATGGGTTAGCACCGTGATAACTAGCAAAAAACACTACTAAAAACAACGAAATCACTACGGATTATTATAAAATCAATACAACATCTAAGCTAAATCACTACTAATTCAAACTAGTAGTAGTTTTTCCCTTGGTTAGGACGGTGCTAACTATTGTACAATTAGCACCGTAACTCCTTCCCACAATGCAGTAATTGGGTCCAAATACTGCATAACATTTCCACGTCCAAACGACCGCTAAATATGTGGTAAACATGTATCTCATTTACTATATATAAGAGAAAATTAAATTATAAATTGACCGAATACTCTGATATATTATTACAAATTGATTATTAGTAAATCAAACTTTTTGAGCTGAAAAAGAATATCTTTACAATCGAATATTACACTCATACAAGCAAGAATACACGCAATCATGTGATTGAGCCATGCAATATTGTACAAAGAATGAATTGAATAATTGACGATATGACAGAAAGTTTTCCACCATCACCATCAGAGGAACCTAGATTGCTTGCATTCCACGGGAACACCCTGCGGGAAGCGTTTGCGGTCGGTGCAGTAGTTATAGATGAGATACTTGCTTTGCACCCATCGGATTCTGTTCCGACCGGCGGCGTCCAATCCTTGTGTTTGCCAAGCTCCCGGTGAACATGCAGAGGAAGCAGAGGATGGGTTCCAGATGCAGGCCTCTGCTTTGAAGTTTTTGTAAGAAGCCACGAAAGGAGCCTTGGTCCAATCGGCCTTCACCCGCCCGCCTTGGGTAGCCCAATCGTCCGCATTCCACAAGCTGGAGTGAATGCTCATCGGCTGCTTGTTGGGGAATGGCACTCCCATTGATTCCAAGTTACTGAACACTCTTATTGGTATGTTGTCCACTAGGAATCTGCGGATGCACAATGCACACAAAAAAAAAAAATCAATTCCTCAAGTCCCACAAGTTATACTACGTACTCAACTCTTATTTGGTGATGAATGATTATGTACTTTGAGTAATTAGAATTAAAAGACTTACATGATTCGCTGAGAGTTCCAGAGGATGGTGTAGGTGTGGAAAGCGGTGGTTGGGTCGAACCAAAGATGGAACTGCTGTTCTCGGTTTCCTTTCCCCTGGCTGAAAACGTTGGTGTGAAGGGTGTAAGGATCGCCAGAGGAGTTACCCAGAAACTCGAAGTCGATTTCGTCGTGGTTTGGTCCTTGGGAGGACAGCTGAGGAGAGACATGGACGGTAGAAAGAAAGTTTTAACTTTTTTTTGTCTCGTTGTAGGAAAAGTGATAGTGGAATATTGTTACGATATATAGAGAATGAAATGAAAAAAAAAGAGTATGAGTAGTGAGGGAGGACTACTGACATAAAATGTGGTAACGGTGCCAGCAGAGTTGCCAGCGACGAGCTTGATCTGCATATCGATTCGGCCGAAGAGGTACTGGCTCTTGGACTGGAACCCTGCGCCGGAATCCTTTTCGAGGGAGAGGGTTAGGAGCTGGCCGCCGTCCTTGATCTGGGCTCGGTGATGGCCCCAAGTGACGTCGAAATGCTGGTGGAAATTGGCCTCTGAGATGGCCATCAAATGACCCAACAGCACCAATATCGCCAAAGACAGAGGCGCCATCTCTGATGGGAAAGAATGAATGAAACAGAGAGAGAGAGGAGGAGTGAGGAGAGGGATGCTTGATCGATGATGTTGATAATGTCAGGATTTGAGGCTGCCTTATATATAAGAGGAGCAGCTGTTGAAAGCGCGGAATGGGGAGCTGGCGGCCACTGCAGAATTATTGCATGAATTGGCTGGCTGGCTGGCAATGCCGTTGGTTAGTCAATATGAGGATTTTTTCTTCTACTTCTTATGTATAATTAATTGTTTAATTCAGAATGGTGGACTGACGTGCTACATGATTGCATATCATGTAATATAGAATTATGTTAGTTCTAAGAAAAGGAAGCATCGGAGCTGCTTCAGAGGAGGTGGGATCGTATAATAGAATCATTATAACAACCCACAGCCGAACCTTCCTCTACTTGTGCTGTGTTGATCAACGCGTTATAAGCGGCTGCGAGGTTTTTTTGGAGTACATGCAAGAGTTGGTGTGTATAGCAAGGTTGTCAACCTGCGGCTTGATTTGAATTGACCAAATCCGGTGAGAAAGATTGTTTCCATATTTAGGACTCGACAGCACGTGAGTGGGTAATTCGTGGTATGATGATATATCGATCCACCCGTAAATAATTCGATCCGCACTGGATGAGTGATTGATGTAGGTGGATTGCAGATTGATGAACCCCCTATTCGCACGTATTCGGGAAGTTGGTGGGTGGATTGCGTGTCACCCGAATGATACGCATGCTATTTTCACACAGGCAAAAAGATCTTTCTTGTTTATATTATCAAATAGTCATAATTCTTCCCTAACCGCATTACACACTCATCATTGACTTGTAAAAGCGGGGAATAAGTAAGATTTAGGACAACTATTATTGTTTACGGTTTTGTGTAATATCTATTAAATATTGAGATGCAAATTATAAACTATTAATTGTATCAAAATCGAGAAAATCATTAATTTTCTCTACACAATTGGTTGATAGAACAATGAAAGATTTGATCCAAATACTATACGAATCCACAAAAGAAAAAAATGGGATGTGTCTAAATTGTTAGAGTCTTACTAATTTGCGAGGAAGTTATTATAAATGTTAGTCAATTTGCATACTGACGAGTTAGAGAATTACTTTTGTGGGTTAACTCACAATCCAACTGCACCCATCAGCCATCCACCCAACCCAACCTGAAGAAGAATGTGGTTGGATAGCGGGTTATACCAACTTGCTAGTAAGTGGACGGGTCAATTTGAGACCAAAACCATCCAACTCGCTCATTGCCATCCCTAGCCACACCCACATACTCGCGGGTCAATTCGCAATAAGGTTCTTGGGGTTGGAGGCCACACGACATCGTTTTTTTCTTTGGTTTGTGAATTGTGCCGCTTTTCCGGTTTTTCCCTTTGTCCAACCCTATATTTGTAATTAGGGATGGCAACAAAACCCGAACTCACGGGTACCCACCCGACCCAACCCGGTCAACGCGGGTAAAATCCGTGTTGACGGATTTTGGGCTGGGTTTGGGTTTAAACTCGTTCACTATTCATCGGGTTGGATTTGGGTTTAGGTAAACCCGACTCATGGGTACCCGCCCACACCCATATAATTAATTTTCTCGGTATATTTAATATTCTAAACAACTAATCTTATTTATGTTTGTGGAGACATGTCTAATTTTTTCTTTCTAATTTTGTAGAATGAAGTTGATGTTATTGAGTAGAGAATGAAGAAGCTTTCAATTAATCATGTTATTTATGTATAATTTGTGATTTGCTTCAATTTTATTGAGTTTTCTAGATTGGTGTTGAACAATTTGTATAGTTAATTTGTGATTTGCTTGAATTTTCTAGAATGGTGTTTTAAATATGGATAATTTGTATTGAGAAATTGATATTTGACTTTAATTTTTATAGGAACTTGTTATTGTAAATTTTTTACGACAAAAACCCGTGGGTACCCATGAACCCACGGATACCCAGTGGGTTGGGTTTGAGTTTTTCAAACCCAGTGGGTTTTACCCCGGGTTTTTTTCACGGATAAACCCATGGATTTGGGTTTGGGTTTCGCAAAACCCGACCCAACCCGACCCATTGCCATCCCTATTTGTAATTCTAAGTTGAACATTTGAATATTGATGTTATATGAGTGTGTTTGAATTTTCACTATTGTTCGATACAAATATGGAGCACAATTGGGATTTTCTACCATGCACTACCATACCACTAATGCAGAAGTGTGTTAGAAACATAGTTTTTCACTCATTTACGGTTTTGGACTGTATTTGTCATTTTATGAATATTTGGATATTGGGTTGACAATTTGGAGGGATTTTTGGTATTATTGGGGTTTATTTGTGGTAGGTATTTTTTTTGTCGTAAACGGAGCACTTAAAGGGCGCCCCAACCTTTATGCATTAACTAACCGGGGTGTTTGAACTCCAACCCGATCGAAGTACAACCAGTACAAAAGCGTACTACTCGGAACATTAAAAACATGCATCCCTACAGGCAGGGAATTTCCAAAAGAAGCGAGATAATCAGCTACATAGTTTTCCTCGCGAAACACATGTTCTAGCCTCACTTGCCAGTCCCTGTTAATTCAGTGTCTTATCTCCGCGACACTCATGTAATGTGGGTGAGTAGGAGTGGTCGAGTCTATCAAGGCCAGCGCAGTTGTGGAGTCTGTCTGTAGAACAACCTTCCTAGCCCCTTCTTCCCAGGCAAGCTTCAACCCATGCACAATTCCAGCCAGCTCTGCCCTCGTAATTGAACCCCCTCCAAGGTTCGTCGAGAAAGCTCTAATAAAGCGTCCATCATCTCCCCTCACGATCACGCCACAGGTCGTACTTCCTTGGGAGTGTACCACTGATCCATCGATATTGATACACACCCATCCTTGCTGTGGTTGCTGCCAGCAAATGAGTCGCCGCTCGCAGAGTCCCCCATCTCCAAATATACGACTCTCTTTCTCGAATGCAGACTGAATCTGTTTTTTGAGCTGCTTGGTGTCGAACTGGATTTGTGCATAGGTTTTCAGCTTTCCTTCGAATAAGAAGCTATTCCGGTTCTTCCACAGAAGCCAACACGTACCTGCAAACAAAGCAGAATCGATAATGTTGTTGCGCCCAGATAGGTAATGCAGAGACTAGCGGTGGATATCTGGTTCAAAAAAGCGTGCGTCTGGCTCTCCCTCCAGTAGATTCGCCCATGTCGCTCTGGAAAATGGACAATCGCGCATGACGTGCATCATCGTCTCGTTCTCTCCTCCGCAGATTTTACATCCATCATTGTTTGTGAGGTGTCTCCTATAGCGTTCTGCATTGGTGAGCAGTCGGCTATGATTCATCAACCAAATAAAGGTCCACACGCGCCCGTCCGCCAAAGGGTCCTCCACACCGGGTGTCCCGTCGCTGGTGCATCTCCCTCGTCGGTGATCTCATAGGTTGTGGGCAAGGAGAATACACCATCTTCTGTAAGCCGCCAAACCCGCACGTTGTCCTCAGCCTCCGTGGGAATAGGATGCAACAACACCTACGAAACAGTAGACGGAAGTAAGTAAGCATCTAGGAAATCTTTGTTCCACTCACCATTCAGCACGAACTCCGCGACTGGCATTTGAAGCAGCGCTTCTAGGAAATTTGGGGCTAAATCCTTAAGGATGCTTCCGTCGGCCAGCCATCCATCACTCTAGAACCTCGCCAATTTCCCGTTCCTAATGTTCCAGCTTGTAGCTTCCTCCACCAGGTGGAGAACCCGAAGAACTCCTCTCCATAGGTTAGAGATGCGACCCGTCGATCTAGCAACCCAGCCATTAGCCGTTTGGCGGAGGTATTTGGCTCGAACAACTCTGGCCCACAACTCCCCCGGCTTGGTGATGAGACGCCAAGCAATTTTTAGCATATAAGCTTCATTTGTCCTAATCGAGTCTCTAAGCCCCAGGCCACCCTCCACTTTAGGCCGACAGATCGTCTCCCAGTCCACTAAGTGGATTTTCTTACCTTGATCCGTGCTTCCCCATACAAAAGCTCGAATCTTCCGATCAATGTATTCTCAGACATTTGCAGGGAGGAAGGTAGTCTGCATGGTATACGCTGGGAGGGAGGAGACAGGAGAGTACTGATGGCGCTAGGGTGATGCGTCCTGCCAACGACATAGTTGCTGCTTTCCAGCCTGCGAGTCGCGAATAAATCCTGTCAATTAATGCTGTATAGGTAGCTTTTGAAACACGGTCATGGATAACCGGTACTCCCAAATAGCGCCCCAGGTTGGCTGTTTCGGGAATTCCAAGAGTTGCACTCAAGCTATGTCGAGAAGGCGCAGTGACATTAGCCGAAAAGAATACCTTTGATTTCGGCTTGCTTACTTGTTGCCCAGAAGCAGCACCAAAAATTTCGAAGCAGTGTAGGATCGCCTGTACCTGGTCAGTAGTCGCCTCCCCAAACAAAATGAGGTCATCTGCGAAAAAGAGGTGAGACAGTGCCGACCCATCCGCACTGAGCTTCACCTGTTTCCAACTTCTTGTTCTAACTGAGTTATCAATCAAATGGCTCAATCTTTCCATACAGAGAGTGAATAAATATGGAGATAGAGGGCAGCCCTGGCGTAATCCTCTCTTCTGGGAGAAGGAGTCACTGAGTCCGCCATTCCATTGAACTTGCATGGTAGCCGAAGTGATGCAGGCCATTGTAACAGCCACAAATTTTGCAGGGGGCCCCGCCGCTTGTAGTGTGTCTTGCACGAAATCCCATCTAATGCGGTCGTACGCTTTAGCCAAGTCGATATTCAGCGTCATCCAACCTTTCTGACCTTTCTTCACGCGCATAGAGTGAACTACCTCGTGTAAAATGCAGACATTGTCAGTAATATGACGTCCGGGGACGAAGCTGGTCTGCGTCTCACGTACCAGGGTCGGCATCAATGAATTTAATCTCTCAGTCAGTCCTTTGGTAATAGCTTTGTACGCTATGTTACATAGACTAATGGGACGGAATTGCTCAATGAGAGTAGGCTGCTGCACCTTCGGGATAATAACCAATACCTTCTCATTGATCTCCTTGATTCTGCCCGAGCTTCCCAA